CAGTGGCAGCAATAGCAGTAGTCGTCGTCGTACTAATACTAATGTAGCAGTACTAAGTTGCAGTAGTAGTAGTAGTAGTAGTAGTAGTACTAGTACTGGTAGTTGTAGTAGTAGTAGTAGTAGTAGTAGTAGTACTAGCAGCAGTCGTCGACATCGTCGTAGTCGACTTAGTAGTGGTGGTAGTAGTAGCAGCAGCAGCAGCAGCAGCAGTAGTAGTAGCAGCAGCAGTAGTAGCAGAGTTAGTAGAGTAGTAGAGTAGTAGAGTAGCAGTAGAAGTAGTAGTAGTAGTAGTAGCAGTAGTAGTAGTAGTAGCAGCAGTAGAAGTAGTAGTAATAATAATAGTATAGTAGTAGTAGCAGCAGCAGTAGTGGCAGCTGCAGTAGCTGGTAGTATTGGTAATTCTTGTACCACTACAATATTTTTTCGAATCGTAGTCGTAGTAGTTGCGATCGTCGGCGTCGTCGTCGTAGTGGTCGTAGTAGTCGTAGCAGTGGTGGTGGTGGTGGTGGTAGTAGTAGTAGTAGTAGTGGAAACAATAGTATGAGTGGTAGTAGGCAGCAGCAGGAGCATTAGTAGTAGCAGTGGCAGTGGCAGTGGCAGTGGCAGTGGCAGTAGCAGTAGCAGTAGCAGTAGCAGTACCAGTACCAGTACCAGTACCAGTAGCAGTAGTAGTGGCAGTTGTAGTGGTGGTGATATGATTATTGATAGTAGTAGTGTAGTAATGGTAGTAGTAATAGTGGTCGTAGTAGTAGTACTGATAGTAGTAGTAGTAGTAGTAGTAGTAGTAGCAGCACCAGCAGTAGTAGGAGAAGTAATCGTAGTTATTGCTGTTGTAACCGTAGTAGCACTAGTAGTAGTAGTAGTAGTAGTAGTAGTAGGTAGGTAGCAGTAGCAGAAGCAGTGGCAGCAGCAGTAATAGTAGTAATTAGTAGTAGTAGTAGTAGTAGTAGTAGTAGTAGTACTAGTAGTCGTAGTAGTAGTCGTAGCAGCAGTGTTTGTAGCAGTAGTAGCAGTAGCAGTAGCAGTAGTAGTGGTAGTAGTAGTAGTAGTAGTAGTAGTAGTGGTAGTGGTACTGGTAGTTGTAGTAGTAGTACTAGTAGTAGTAGTAGTAGTAGTAGTAGTAGTAGTTGTAGTTGTTGTTGTCGTAGTAGTAGCAGTAGCAGTAGCAGTAGCAGCAGCAGTAGCCTTGTCGGAGTGGGAAAGGACGAGTAGCAGGAGTAGGAGTAGGAGTAGGAATGTCTTCGCCCATGTTCGCACTGGTATATTAGATACTACGATCTGTGCCAAGGGCTTCCTTTCGGTCGCTGGAGTCTTATTGTGTTCAGCTGCCGGCGCCTGGAAGTGCGGCTGTCCCATCAGGGATGTCCCCAGATAGGTCATGTAGAAGCCATTGCCACATCGCGTCCTTGTGCGGTCGCCCTCTTCTTAAGCACGGGAGGGGCGGTGACCACTCTCTCCCTCTCTCGCTGTCTCTCTCATTCCTTCCCCCCTTCCTTACTCCCTACCCCAATCCTTGTCGGAGCACTCAGTATCACGTCGTCGCATCCGTTCACATTATCTTTGAGCTCTCCTTTGCGAAGGTATCTATACGCATGTGTATCTATGCACACCTACTCTTGCTTGAATATGTGTGTGTGTGTATGCAGTTTTATATCGCTTTGTCTCTCCGGCTCTGTCGCGCTTTCGACAGTATGTTGCCTTAGAGACAGGCCGCGACTAAAACTTTTTTTAGAGACCAGTGGTAGTGGAGGTCTTCTTGAGCAGAGCTTCATGTTGCCAACCCCGTAGGTCACATTCGTGACCGTCGTTGATGTCGCTGTTGTTGACGAGGTCGTCCTCGTCCTGCATCAGGCTTCCGGATCTGTTCTTCGACTTTGGTTGGCTTTGGCTCTACGATGGCTGGGGTCTGGGAAGATGCAATTTCTGTCTGCAGTTGCAGTGCGGAGACAGGTGTGAGGCTCGAGAACGGATCCCACTTCAGCCTCGTAGTTGACGTGGCCGTGACTGTCACGCTGGTCGTCGTACTCGTCATGGTGCTTGTTGTAGAGCTCGTTTCGTCCGACGTGTTCTGTGTCGTGTTGCCGTCCGAGTCATCCCCCTTCTGCGAGACAAACAAAGAACCAACGAGTTTGGTAGCCCGGCGGAAAGACCGAGCTCACCACTACCGCCACTCAACAAGAAGAACAAACAGAAAGAACAATGACAACGACGACAACGGCCATCACCACAAACAAAGACGACAACAACAACAACAACA